TATTTTAGGGCTGGGGCTGTAGCTCAGTGACAGTTCACTTGCTTAGCACATGTGAGGCACTGTGTTCAATCCTTAGCACCATATAAATAAAGACATACTGTCCATCTACAATTACAATATAAATAAATAAATACAAGAAAAGAAAATATTTTTAAAAAGAAAGAAAGAAATGCTTCTTGTGACTTTCAGAGCAAAGGACAGCAAGGTCCTACCCCAAGGCAGAGGTTCTGGGAGAAGGGAGTAAGAAGGGTTCACCTTGAGTCTGCCTCCTATTTCCCTTGCAGTCCTGAGAGATCCCTTCCCTCTGGTGTCCCTGCTGCCAACCTACCAAAATGTCACAAAACCACCCAGCCTAAGCCCCATTGTTCAGGTGGCAAAACTAAGACCCAGCGATGGAAAGGGACTCAAATGAGATCACCTTGTCTCACTTAGAACATTTCTTCTCCATCGGGAGGCATGTCCCTGGGTACCAGCACTTGCTTCCTATCCACCCCACCTCTTGGCTGCTACTGGGCAAGGCTCACATCACCCCTTCTTTGGAAGGCAGAAGAGGAGGAAGAGGCATCTGGAGGAAGAATGGGCAATCCGCTACTTTTCTAAGGGAGGGTTCTGACCCTGGGGGAAGTGAGAATTCAGGGACAGGCTTTAGCAAGAGCTGGCAGTCAACAATCAAGCCAAGAGAAAAATGCAAATGAAATGCTGCTAAGAGGAGAAATGCAGAGACCTTAAGTTGATTCCATCAAGCGGGAGCCAAAGCTGAGTGTGCTCTCTCTCTCTCTCTCTCTCTCTCTCTCTCTCTCTCTCTCTCTCACACACACACACACACACACACACACACAGCCACAGCCTCGCATCCCACGTCATTCAATTCCCCTGCGTGTTCTAAACCCAGATGATCAGATAATAAGAGGTTGAGTGGTATGCATAACATCAAGTTGATTAAATTTGTTTACTGATAATTCTTTCAGGTTCCCATGAAGATGGTGTAATTTCCTTGCCGTATTTCAAACAGATTTGGGCTAATGCATTATTGACGGCACCCTCGCAGACCATCCCTGCAATGTCATTCAGGATAATTATTTCACAACAGATTTCCAGGGCCTCTGGTTCCTGTTGGGATTCACTTGGGCATAAATTACAGAGCCGAATATTTAATCAGTGTCCCCATTAGAACCCTGTGGCTTATTTTTAGGAGTCGAGGAGGGAGAGCGGGTAGGGGAGAGGGTATTTGTATTATTACGGCATGAATATATTTCTTCAGAGCTGGGTGCGTTGTTGTTTTTCTGTGGGTTTTTTTTTTTCCCCAAAGCTCAACCAAGCTGAAAAAGCAGCCTGAAGCCTCCTTGCCTTTTTTTAGAAATAAACACAAGCATTAATCTTTTGACTGCATTAAATTAAATATTAATGTTAACGGATCACATAATGCGAAGTTAAAAAAACGATTAACATTTACTCCACATTCTCTCTCCATGACTTTTCCATTACACAAATTAGTCCCTCTCTTAACTAATAAGACCTGAGCATCCTCACATTGGAAAGGTGGAACAGGGGCGGGGCAGGGTGATTGTTTGGGGCTCTTCTGAAGAAAAACTGGAAGAAAGGTATCCACGGACAGCCACTAACCAAGCTGCCTCCCTGCGCAGGTCATCTGGCAGTCACACAGGTGAGACGGGGCTGCTCCCTTGCAAGGAATGATCGCAGGGCTAATTAGCAATGCCAAGGGGTGCCGCGCTTGGATGCCATAATGTTTGCATTTCCGGCTATTTGTGTCATGCAAGCTGCAGAATCAAAGAAGCAGCAGGCCTGGGCCTGGCGCCCACTGCACAGCCCACAATGCCCACGATGCCCGTCTCCCTCTGCAGTCCAGCTGCGCCACCATCATGCCCCAAAAAAACCATCACCCCAAGGGGCTGGGGTTGTGGCTCAGTGGCAGAGCACTGGATTCAATCCTTAGCACCACATAAATAAATAAATAAAGGTATTGTGTCCATTCCAACTAAAAAATATATTTTTTTTAAAAAAAAATGAATAAGATGAAGAAGAAAAGAGAAGCCAGGGAGCTCCTCACTGCTACCAGAACCTCCTCTCCCAGCTCTCCAGGTCAGCCTCCCCTCTAGCCTGTGAAGTGGGCTGTTGTTCCCACATCACCTTTTTAAAAGGCTGTGTCCCTCAGTTTTTGAGGGTTCTTCTGACCCCTCCTTTCGCCTGAGATCCTTACAACCCAGCCCATCAGAGGCCACCAGGAAACATAAGTGTACCCTGACTTTTCTTTCTGTCTCCTCCCCCTCCTGCTCCTCCTCCTCCTCCTCTCTTCCAACTGTTAATTACATCTCTGCTCTCCCCTGCACCAGGTTTCCGGATGCCTCATCCAGACTCAGCAAGCATCCCTAAGCCTGCCAAGTCCTCTGGTTGTCCCCATCCAGGCTCTACCTTCAGTCCAGTCTTCCCACATTACCACTGCCGGAGAGCCCACTTCACAAAACAAGGCACTCCAGCCGCTCCCCTGGCTCCCACCACCTCCAGGATAGTCTCTTTTAACCAGCCCCAACTCTGAGCACTGTCTCCAGCCACACACTGCCCCAGGCTCTCTAGGAGGAGGTCTATAGGAGATGCCTCATCACAAAGTATTTCCATCTACAGTAAG